ATATTACAAAGGGACCAGAAAAGACAGATATAATATCCATTGGTGTCAAAAGACTGGTGTCTGCAGATCACATGGAGAAAAGCATGCCATCACTCATCAGTCAGTGGACAATGTTGTACATAAGAAACAACTTTTTAACACTTTTAGAAAAAGTTTTACACGTTAAGATTAAGTGCTGTTCTTAAACATGTATAAATCAGTCGGTTAAACATTATTTTTCGTGGAAAGAACACAAGGTCAAACATTTAACTATTAGTAAAGTGAAATATGCTTTACCAACCTCCGGTAAACATAAGAAGCTACTACTGGCAGTTGTGCAATCAAGCTAAGTGAATCCTCAAAAGTTGGCTCCCAGTACCTAAAAATAACTCATGTTAGGAAGCTTTAAGGAACCTAAAAACTAATGGAAGACTGAGTATCAAGATCACAAAAGTACAAACATATTTACTTTGATTTATGTATCCCCTCATCGTATGCCTTCTGGAATTCACTCCGAACCTGAAAACAGAATTAAATGATTAGAAACTGTTAGTTGCATTGCATCTACTGGATATACCCAGAAAAGCTGGTAAATGAGTCCAGCCACCCTTTTAATGCACTATTCAGGTATGTTATTTATGTGGACTAGATTTCATTTTCCTAGAGAGAAATATAATTAATAAAAGTTTTATTATAAAACCCAAAAGAAACACTGAATCTGACTAATGCTCCAACAAAGAATATTCAATTGAAAAATTTAGCCTCCTTAACTCTAGATCAACAAGAATGAAACTGAATGACGATACACGTCTTTGTACCACATAAGAAGTAGCGTGTATCAACCTTTGCCTTTCTGGTAATTTATTGTGCTAGAAAAACTTACAAAGTATACTCAGGTCAATTAAGTCTTTATCTAAAAAATAAATTGGGAAAAACCTACAACTTAAACAAACTCACATTAAACATATTAGGGATGCTGATAATCATAATTTGTAATATAAAATAAGACAGGCTAAAGAGGGTAATAATAAGAAACATGTGTCTACATGATAACCAATGATGTATTATGGATAAAAATATCATTCAAGTTATTCTCTTGTATAAATGCATCCTTAGCTATGATGTCTACATGATAACCAATGATGTATTATGGATAAAAATATCATTCAAGTTATTCTCTTGTATAAATGCATCCTTAGCTATGGATAATGTTAAAAGATTATGTCCCACTGTCTTCCATTGCATATTTACCGTGAAGCCTAAGAGTTCTGGTAAAGAAAATTTGGGTAGCCAACCAAAAAGTGCAAATCTAAATGCATAAACACAACACACCAAATGATTTCGACCAGACAATGATTATGCCAAAAAGAAAATGTAAAATAACTAATATATGAGTATGAAAAGCAATGATAAGCAGCCCATTTACCAACCTGGAGGGCCATAACACCGGTGGTAAACTGAGTCATTGGATGTGCTGTGATAGGCAGAGCATCAATGGCCTTATACACATAATCTGCAACCATGAATGACAGCTATTTGATGAGCAATCTTGTATTAATGACCATAAGAGTGTAAAACTTGAGTGACTGCTAACAGAAGCACTTCAATCAAACCTTATGCGCTTAAAAACTTTCTAGATACAAATGTTTAAGTGAAACAAACATCTGCAGTTGGTAGCATTCTCACATATGACAACTTTTTAAGTACCCGGTTTAAGCCATCATAACTATTTAGTCTTTCTTAACAAAAATATATAATATAATCCTGACTATTATTCAGTTAATCAAATACGGGCAGTGAAATTGATAAATAAAAGCTACAGCACCTGGAACTATGGCACGGCTCCTCAATTCCTCCGATAATGCATCAACTTGCTCTTTGCTTGGTACCTATTGCGCATAGGCAAGGCAAAAGGTGTGTTTAATATTAGAATAAACCAAAAACACCGCATACAAAGCCAAAAAAAAAGAATAGATAAATAAATACAAGTAATATGTTGGTCAAAAGATCTTGTAATGAAATATGACTAAAGAGCCATACCTTTCCTGTTAAAAGTAGCCACAGAAGACCCTCAGGCAAAGGTTCCCCACCAGGCTTTGCACCTGGTAATACTTTCTGGCATTCTGGAATTGACAAACCCCTGAAGCGAATCCCCTGCAAAAAAAGAGCCAAGATATCATATTATATGACTGTATGTTTGTCAACTAATTGTTAGAATTATGAAAGAAACTAGTTCATAATAATTCACAAAGTTTCAAGACTGCATAATTAAAATGTATACCTCATCTGGGTCAAGTAAGGAAGTTTCCCACAGCAACCCTGTCATTCCTCTCATTCCACCAAGAACCTATGCAGTAAAAAGTGAATCCAAAATGAATTACGCACTATGATCACATATTTAGTTCAAAGTTGCAGTTTCACTCTTTCTAGAAAGATGAAGAACAAATATCAGATGAAGGTTTGCTATTTTTCCAGTACTACAAACATTAACTTCTTCCATTGATAACAAAGAGGCACATCTTACAAGAATAACTTATAAAGAGAAAAGAGAAAGATACTTTACCATATCAACAGTGATATTGCCCAGTTGAACTTTTCCATATTCTGCCTTGATTTTCTTCAGACGTTCCTGTAACCAAAAAATATAGGTGTGATAATACACTAAACAAACTTATTAACATATTCAATGTTTAAATATAAGACTTCTTTATACACAAAACGAACTGATTCACCCATCCATTATACCCAGTCATCTCAACAAACAAAGAATGCACTAAAAGGAAGTAGCTCAACTTATATAGACATGGTTGAATTATGTTGCACTACTAATAGAACACCAAAGCAACACTCAATATCAAGAATACAACCTATCGATCTTCGAGCATGAGTAACAAAATATGAAAAAATTAAGTTAATGGTGTAAGTGAATGCTATCATGACTAATAGAAGAAACCTGTTTTTCTGGAATCAATTCCTTCAACTGAGAACGAAGGTCCTGCATGGCAACAATGATGGTCATGAGGAAGCATTACTGTAGAGTAAACTGTAATTTACATAAAATGACCCTCATAATATGAGAATTTACTGGCCCCGACTTGCACGTAGTAATAAAATTGCATTGATCAATAAAATAATTCTTGATTTGTATGCCAAAACGACTCTTGTCATTTCCCCAAGGGCATAACAAATTTAATCAGAAATAATGGTATGAACTATGAACTATGAGGAGAGGGAGAGAGAGAAGAAGAAGAAGAAGAAGAAGAAGACGAACTCACAAGATCTGTGGAGGTCTGCGTTTGAAGCCATCTGACGGAATCTCTAAGATTCGACTGTTGGCCCTGCAGAAAATAATGAATCGAAATAATCAGAGTCGGTTCCAAAGAAAGAAAGAAGCAATTTTCCGGTGAATCTGAGAATAATATAAAAGCAAAACGATATCAATCTCTTTCGCTCTGGGTTTCGGAAAAACAACTTACAAGACGAGAACGGAGCTTGGAAAGCGCAGTGACACTCCTGAATAACACCATCGGTGACAGCAGCCGCTATCAGATTTCTGCACCGCACCGCACCCACCCAATTTACGTATGAAAATTATTACACAAAATACAAAGAAAGCAATTTAAATGGCAGAAAAGCCAAAGGCAAGGAGGTGTTGGGTGAGAATGAAGAAGATGGATTCACAGTTCCAATTAAATGGGGGGGCAGAAAAGGAACTTACAGAGTCAAAGTCAGAGAAATGGGCCGTGAATAAGTGTTTGGAATTTTCGAGTGCCAAACGTGATTTGGCTCCAACCACCACCAAAATCAAACCGAACAATAAAAATATAAAAACGCAAAGGGCGCAGTCAGTCAGTCGTTTACCTTTCAAAGCCGATTTTATTTCATCCTATTTTACATATCTATTTTATTTATTTATATTTTATACTTAAATTTATTCATACCTATAGCATGAGAGAGATTCAGTTGAGGGCAATCGCACATTGTATTTCAATGATCGAAACTGTTTAATTTTTAGATATTTTCTCTAATATTATTTTTGCAAAAAATCACTTGAATGAGAAGCTATTTGACTACTTAATTAGATGATTGTTATTGTAGTCTTTTTATTCAACCACCGTATTTGTTTATTTTATTAAACCCAACTAGATGCCTTAATGTTTTTCGATTTGCTTACTTTTAGCAATGATGATTTATGAATGAAGACTTAAAAAATCAGACGGTTTGGATTGTTGAAAATAAAATAAAATTAGAAAGGACCTTAAAGAGTGAGGGATCCCCCACAAAACCTAACTTGACATTTTTGGGTTTGGTTGGCTTTCGCACTAAATAAAGTTGTAATGGCATTTGTATAAAAATAGAATGGAGGGCTGGCTTCCGCTTACTTTTCATTTTTCAATCTTCCAACCCAACTACTGAAAACATGCATGGCATTTTGGCAATGCCATTTCGAGTGCTTATCTGTCTATCAACATCACCACTTCCACCTTCCAACCGTATCTGATGCCGCCTGCTGCTGTTCTTGTTGGCACCATTCAAACCCATCAGCCACCCTGTGTGATTTTATACTTCCAATTGTTTTATGATAAATACTTTTAAATACCTCTTCTATTCTTATTGACCGTCAAAAGCTTAAGCCCATATTGATCCCTGTGATTTTTATTGTCTTTTTTTTTTCTTTGCTAAAATTCCCCACATGTTCTTGTCTGTTTGGAAGAAAATTAAACAAGGGGAGCTTTAGATTCAGGCCCAATAGAGGGGCTGAAATAGTAGAAAACCCAACCCTATAGATTCAAGCCCATTTGCTGCAATGAAGTTCCTTCAAGCTGCTTCAGTTAAGAGTTCCGTTGTAGTACGAGTACTACTGCACTGCACGTCAAATCAAATTTGTACTACGACTCAGAAGATGTGTACTTATGTACTCTGCATCAGAAATATATATTTTATATTATGTATATACTGTGTATATAAAACACAACAGAAATGAGGTTGCAGCAGCACTCTACCTCCCTCTACTGCTAAACTAGTTAGTTTTAGTTTAATGGTGTTATTGAACTGTCAAACACAGCCTCCTCTGTCTCTCTATCTATGTTATATGTTAAGAGTAAGCTTTGCAGTCTCTGTGTGTTTGTTATATGATATCTTTCATATGTTACTTTAATCTGTTTTTCCTTTGTTAATTTATAAGTAGGGCCTATGCATATACAAAAATGGGGTGGCCATTTTTCATATCTTGGCACCAAAGTCACCACCCGACTGTTGTTACCACCTTCAATTCGTCCTCCAACAAGTCCGTTATCTTTATATGCAGGCTATAACTCTAAGAACATGTGACAAAATGAACTACAATAAGATATAGTGCATATAGAGATAACAGACTTGTTTGGGGACGAGTTGAAGATGTCAATAGTCTGGTGCTGACTTTGGTGCCAAGGTATAAACAATGCTCACCTGAATTTTGTTTTCTTTGTGTATAGACTCATATAATTAACAAAAGAAAGCAGATTATTAGACGTTGAATTCCAATCCAAAAGTGGCAGAGTGGTTTGCAATCTGAGATGAGATGGTATATAATCCAATCCAACTGCACTTTGGAGTCGGTAGAAATTAAATCAAAAGCTCTGATGTGACAGCAGATGATGTTGTTGATTGTGATCCACACCGGATGTCGAACTGGTCAATTGCTATATGTGGTGGTGTTGGTGCTCTCGGCAATCCACGTGTGTTCTTCTAATTAGCATTCATTTTCCAATTGTAACTTTGTTCCTCCTGTGTATTGGGAAAATAATAATAATAAATCTTTTTAGTGAAAAAGTAAATTCCAATCACAAAAACAACTCTCTTCGAATATTTTTTTGGTCGAACAACTCTGTTCTAATTAGCATCACAATATTGTAGAAACATTAACTTAATACACTCAAAAATGATTTAGGCATTTTACCTCTCACGCTCCTCTAAGCACCGACTTACAAACAGGCAAGAGTCCGATGATCAGGGACTACAAGCAAAGCAAAGCAATAAAACACTAAGAATAGATTTGATACAGATTGGAAAGCAAACAAAGACACTGCTGCTTCAACAAACCAAGATACGTCACAGCCAACCCAAATCTGTCAAGAGACACGCTGCGGAGGGCAAGGGAGACCATCCTTGTTTAGAATGCCAATCAAAGAGGATGGGGGCCTGTCGACCCAAACAAAAGAGCGTGATTATAACATTGGACACACTTTATCTTCTTCTGTGTCTGTTTTTGTTTTGTTGGGGTTTTCAGACTTTGAGAGAGGAGAAGTTATGTGGGATTTCCAAGGATGCTTGAGTAAGTCTCTCTCTTGGAATTATTTCATATACTTCTTAATTGGATAAGAGCATGTCTAATGCAAGGGAAGGGGGAACTAGGGTTAAAACTCAAAACTTGTTATTTTAATTTATTATTATTTTATTGATGATAAAAATCAAAGCCTAAGTAAAGCAACACATTAATTTATTTTTGGAAATGTAAACAACTAGAGAGGAGGAATGAACCAATCATAGAGTTATGAGGAAAAAAAAAAAGGGACAGCAACTAAGAGCATGTCCACCCCAAAAGGCTAAGGCAAGGCAAGGGCTGCCACTATTCATGCGAATAGTGGCAACCTTGCCTTTTTTGGCTCCACCCCAAAAGGCTAGGGCAAGGGCAAGAATCCACCCCAAAAAGCTAGGGCAAGGGCAAAAAAAAAAAGATTATGCAACAAAATATTAAAAAAATTTGGTATTTTTTTTAAAAAAGAATCCACCCCAATTTGGAATTTTTTTAAAAAAATTTGAATTTTTTTATATTTTTTAATAATTTTTTTCACTCGCTAACGTCAACGTGACGTCAGCGCCTTCAGGCTAGAGCCTAGGCAGAAATTGCCCGTG